ATCCTGCCGCAGCCCCAGTGGATGCGTGTGAGTGCGAGTGCGAGTGCGAGTGCGAGTGCGAGTGTATGCAACGCCACAGCACTGCGGGAGGGCAAGCCCCTGCCTCCCCAGTGGGTACCCACGCCCGAACTGCACAAAATACCAAGATAAGCCTATTTCCCCTCCCTGGCAGAGTCTCTAATGTCCTCGTTAACGGGCGTTAATCTCCCAATAAATACATAAAAACCACCAGTAAGGTTTATTCTAGATTTTTCCATGTCGAGGGTAGACGTTGAAGGTAAGCTGTTTTATTAGTCATAAAACAGAGGGGCTTATTCTAGCGGAGCTTTCTTCTTGGGGGATATGTAGCCAGCATTTACAACAAGGGATTTTTCCTCCGCTTGCTGTCATAGGAGGGATGTGTACTAATTCATTCTGGTGTTAAACTGCGCAAAAAATCAGTTAAGAAATATTTTCTGCTACGGTACTTAAAAAAAAATCGTGATAAAGCCTTTGCATGGAAAATATCCACATTGCTTCCAACGAGGGGGAAAGAAGGGAGAACTCATCGAAGTGTTCTGTTTAAAAAGAATAATAATAAAAAAATGAGCTGTGTTCGCACTCTATCCATCATATTTAAACCCACAAATCTAAGTAGTTTTACAAGAACGAATACTACAGAATGACATTTATCTATCAAAAGGGTCTGGAGTTAAATTATTGAAACTACAACTGAAGCAGTTACTTTTGGGGTAAATGTTTATGTTCTGTAGTCAACACAACAGAGTCGCGTCTTCAGATGACATCCAGTTATTTTTGTAATCACTTCATCATTTCAAGAGAAAAAGAGAAGAGACCATTTTATGGGGTAAAGTAATTTGAGAGAAGATTCGCTCTCCACAAAGTGGCTTATTCAGAAATGATCATAGCTTCGGTATTACTGAAATTAGACTCATCTACCCGCCTGAAGTAAGAAATATCGTCCTATTCCACGCTTTTTATTAGCCAATCAAATTTCCTTCGGATCTCCATTTGTGATTTGTGAAAAATATAATTCCTTGAAAAGCTGAGTTTGAGCATATTGCTTATTTTGCCTTAATTTATTATTCTAATCACAGCCGCCGCTGTGTGATAATGCATCCATTAGGCGAAAAAATTCGTTTAGGTTTTATACTGCAAAATGGGCAGATATTATATTTTAGAGACAACGAATTTCTCGGGCATTAATTTTTTTTTGCGCGCATCGCAGGGAGAAAGGCGGGCGGCGAGGGATACGCGAGGGGGGAGCAGGGGCTGAGGTGGGCGACCCCCTCCCCCCCCCTCCAAATTGGGCGCTCTTTTATCCTTCCCCCCCCCCCACACACACCCCTGTGCAAAAGCCTGGCTAATATTGAACTCAAGAAAAGACCGAGGGGAGGCGGATTTTAGACAGCACAGATGTAAATAGCGACGTGATGGTCCGAAATGCTCCTTAGCAAATGTGCGCGCAGGTTACTTTTTGCCTTCAAGGATAAAATTTCCTGCTCGCTTTATGGATTCTTATTATCTTGTCTACCCGCTGGAAAATGGGATCTCCATTGTGCTCTGGAAGCTGTTTAACTGGTAGTTTCCCCCCTCGTAACTTTTAACTACCTGTTATAAAATTTATTGGTGGTTTGTAAAGTGAATAAAGTAATTTCCCTTCCATCCGGTTGTATTGCAACCTTTGTGCTGTTTGGGCAGACAGACACGCATCCAGCCGGGAAAAAAATAAATAAAAGGGGAAAAGAGAGACGGAAAGGGAAACCCCCCCCCCCCAAAAAAAAAATCACACACACATATGCACACTGTTTTTCTCAGTTAAAAAACAAGATAAATGAAGGCGCGCGAAGGAGAAGTACCTGAAGATTAGAGGAAATCTGGAAATGTGCTAACGCAGAGGGAAAGTATATAGGAAAGTCTGGAGTTATTGCGACAAAATGTGTTTTACCTTCCTATAATGTTTCTGGTCATGGGAGTCCCGTAGGAGAGCGGTGCGTGCATGGCCCTTGGGAGC